TTGGTCATAGTGAAATATGAAAAATAAATCTTAAAAAAAGGAAAAAAAATTTAATAAAAAATAAAAAAAATAAAAAAAAATGTTAAACATTTTTCTTTTTCATACTGTCGCCAGTCAGTGTCCCTGATCACCGCCATGCCAGTTATATTATGACGCTGTACTGCACTGGTGACAGCATGTAAAAAAAAAAAAAAAAAATAGTGGAAGTATTTTTTTTTTATTTTTTCATTTTCCGAAAAATTGACAAAATAAATACAACTTCAAAAAACTTACCATGCCTCTTATGAAGTACGTCGGACTCAGTCTCTGCCCGAATCACAAACCTACTGAACGGCATATCAGACTGGATGTCGCTCCACTTCACCAAAACCAAGCTCCTAGTCTTCCCCCCAGTCCGGACACCACCCCCCACTGACTTCTCCATCATGTCCAACAATGCCATTATCAGACCCGCCCCGCAGGCCAGAGTACTTGGTGTCATTCTGGACTCCAACCTATCCTTCCAGCCCCAAGTCCAATCTTTAACAAACTCGTGCAGACTCCACCTCCGCAACATGCAGACTCCACCTCCGCAACATGCAGACTCCACCTCCGCAACATCGCCAAAATCCGCACGTTCCTAACCCCAGAAACCACTAAACAGCTCATCCACTCCCTCATCATATCACGACTCGACTACTGCAACTCCCTCCTCACTGGCCTGCCTCGCCGCTGGCTATCCCCGCTTCAGTCCATCCTGGATACAGCAGCCAGACTCATTCACCTTACCAACCGCTCCGTTTTCCGCCACCCCACTCTGCCAATCCCTCCACTGGCTCCCGATTGCCCAACGGTCAAATTCCAAATCCTAACATTGACGTACAAAGCCGTCCACCATACTGCCCCGAACTACATCACTGACCTAATATCCAAGTACTGCCCAACACGCACTCTCCACTCCTCACAAGACCTCCTTCTCTCTAGTTCCCTGGTCTCCTCCTCCCATGCCTGCCTCCAGGACTTCTCCAGGGCGTCACCCATCTTCTGGAACTCCCTACCCCAATCCATCAGACTATCATCTACTCTCCTCTCCTTTAGGCGCACCCTGAAAACCCATCTCTTCAGGGAAGCCTACCCCACCCTCTGTAATTGCCGACCTCCTCCACTCTTCCTACCACTCCATTCCCCACAGCTATCTCCTCCTGTACCACCATCCCCTCCCTCCTAGATTGTAAGCTCCAAACAGCAGGGCCCTCGATCCCCTCATGTTTTGCATTGTATTGGTATTGTTCTGTCACATGTTCTGTCCCCCTTTGTAATGTACAGCGCTGAGCCAACTATTGGCGCTTTATAAATACTGTATAATAATAATAGTAATAATTTGGGGGATATCTGTACTGTCCTGACATTTGGGGGATATCTGTACTGACTTGATATTTGGGGGATATCTGTACTGTCCTGACATTTGGGGGATATCTGTACTGTTCTGACATTTGGGGGATATCTGTCCTGTCCTGACATTTGGGGGATATCTGTACTGTCCTGACATTTGGGGGATATCTGTACTGTCCTGACATTTGGGGGATATCTGTCCCATCCTGACATTTTGGGGATATCTGTACTGTCCTGACATTTGGGGGATATCTGTCCTGTTCTGACATTTGGGGGATATCTGTACTGTTCTGACATTTGGGGGATATCTGTACTGTCCTGACATTTGGGGGATATCTGTCCCATCCTGACATTTTGGGGGATATCTGTACTGTCCTGACATTTGGGGGATATCTGTCCTGTCCTGACATTTGGGGGATATCTGTACTGTCCTGACATTTGGGGGATATCTGTACTGTCCTGACATTTGGGGGATATCTGTACTGTTCTGACATTTGGGGGATATCTGTCCTGTCCTGACATTTGGGGGATATCTGTACTGTTCTGACATTTGGGGGATATCTGTACTGTCCTGACATTTGGGGGATATCTGTACTGTCCTGACATTTGGGGGATATCTGTCCCATCCTGACATTTGGGGGATATCTGTACTGTCCTGACATTTGGGGGATATCTGTACTGTCCTGACATTTGGGGGATATCTGTACTGTTCTGACATTTGGGGGATATCTGTCCTGTCCTGACATTTGGGGGATATCTGTACTGTTCTGACATTTGGGGGATATCTGTACTGTCCTGACATTTGGGGGATATCTGTACTGTTCTGACATTTGGGGGATATCTGTACTGTCCTGACATTTGGGGGATATCTGTCCTGTCCTGACATTTGGGGGATATCTGTCCCATCCTGACATTTTGGGGATATCTGTACTGTCCTGACATTTGGGGGATATCTGTCCTGTCCTGACATTTGGGGGATATCTGTACTGTTCTGCCATTTGGGGGATATCTGTACTGTTCTGACATTTGGGGGGATTTGTACCGTCCTGACATTTGGGGGATATCTGTACTGTTCTGACATTTGGGGGATATCTGTACTGTTCTGACATTTGGGGGATATCTGTACTGTCCTGACATTGGGGGATATCTGTACTGTGCTGACATTTGGGGGATATCTGTACTGTTCTGACATTTGGGGGATATCTGTACCGTTCTGACATTCTTGGACCTCAAGAAATGAGATTGGCTGTCAGTACTTCAGGACTGATCAATATTCAGATCTATACCATAGTTTGTGAACTCTATAACTTTCCTACAAACTAAATAATACATCCTAATTTGGGTTATTTTCACCAAAGACATGTAGCAGAATACATCTCGGCCTAAATTTATGAAGAACAATTATTTATTTTCAAACTTTTATAACAGAAACAAAGAAAAACTTGTTTTTTTTTTTAAATTTTTGGGCTTTTTTTGTTAATTTTGCAAAAAAAATAAAAACCCCAGCGATGATCAAATATCACCAAAAGAAAGCTCTAGTTGTGTGAAGAAAATGATAAAATTTTAGATAGGGTACAGCGTTGCAATTGTCATTCAAAGTGTGAGAGTGCTGAACCCTGAAAAATGGCCTGGTCAAGAAGGGGGTAAAAGTGCCCGGGATTAAGCACGCGATCGTGTGAAACACGTTAACAAGTCCCGTATTCGTGTCGTGGTATTTTGTGTGTCCTACGGATCAATAAATACACACTATATTCATCTATCCTCCGGTGTCCGGCTGACCCTTCTTCCTATTGCAAGACCCAATATGCCTGGAGTCAGGAGAAGCCCAGAGAAGGGGGGTAGAAATAGAAAAGGCCGGAAAAGTTGTTGGGTTCTTGGAAGATTGCCACGAACCAGAGCAGAGCGGAAGAAGTAGCAGCAGAGAGAGAGAGAACATTGGGGGCAGGCTAGTGACTGTATGATGATCCAACAGTAGGCCTTCATTGTTCAGGGAGCCACTCACTTTAGCTGCAGATTTAGACCTAGAGAGTGCCTGCACCTGCCTGCAGTCACCAAACCTCATGTCAAGGCCTGCCATCTTGCTGTTGGGAAGCCACAGCATACAGCCCTGATCAGTGGCCTGATATCACTGCTGCTCAGAACCATTCCAGAGATCCTGACAGACCTCTATTGTTCTACTGGATTCACTATTCATCAGATCATCAAAGACAGCTGCCTGGAATCAACACCACCTAAAAGGGGGGCCCCTCAAACAGAAAAACCTGCTGCAACCAATCAGGGTAGGCTGGTGAGTGGGCCATTGACCCATTATTGTCTTGTTTGCTGACTCTGTGCATATTCTCTGCGAAGATCTATCACCCTTTGCCTTTTGCGATTACTTTTTACCTGCCCACTATTGAGCACTGCAAGTCCTGTTTGTCCAGAGATCATAAAACAGAACCTTAACCCTTTATCTGGCCCCTCTTACTTCAGTGTCCTAAGGAGCTCATTGTTTCTTAAGGCCATCTCGCTGAGTGTAGAAATAGTCAACACCACTAAGCGCACCAACGTTTTCAAGGGTCCCAACATAGCTGGCAGAACTGTACATAGTTCATTTGCTGTTGAGGACAGTTGCCGGTACATTGCCAATCCTCTTTTACAAAAGGCCTAGGCTTAGATCCCTCATTACCAGAGCCCTTTGCAACTTAGCCGTTAGCTGTGTTGGTACCTACCTCAGTTGCTTTTTGCTGCTCATTTAGAGAGGAGAGCTATAGTTTATGCTGGACTGGTTTGAGTTTATGGTAGTACTTTAAATATCTCAAGCGAATCCTCATTGTATTGTGTATTCTGTCATACACAGTATATATGTTTTACTGCTATACTCAATTAGTTCTCTTTCCTACTTGACAATATACTTTATTTGCTACAAAATCTCAGGTCTAATTTCAGGGTGAGCCTAAAGTATTGGAAAATTACCAACCTACCTCTGCTAACGTGGATAACCTGAGGTGTCAGTGGTGCTGAGGCATTGACCAAAGTCAAGGTAACAGAGGACCTGACATTACCAGCGGCTCCTGCAGGGGTGGAGCTACATTATTGGTCTACTGGCAATACAAGCAGTTGAATTTTGACATCCATTTGTGCCACAAAATCCTACAGGACTAAGACTGTCCTCTTATAAATTCCCACCAGTAGTAGTTTTCACACAGTCCGTTGCAACTACCTTCCTATTCCAGAGACCCCAGGATCACCAACAGTAATTGTGTGAAAGTCATATCACCTACCTTCTTCTTCCAGAGGCCCCAGGATCACCAACAGTAATTATGTGCAAGTCATATCACCTACCTTCTTCTTCCAGAGACCCCAGGATCACCAACAGTAATTGTGTGAAAGTCATATCACCTACCTTCCTATTCCAGAGACCCCAGGATCACCAACAGTAATTGTGTGCAAGTCATATCACCTACCTTCTTCTTCCAGAGGCCCCAGGATCACCAATAGTCACTTTACTCAGCTTATATTACCTACTTTTCCCTTCCAGAGACAACAGGATCACCTTCAATAATTTTGCTCAAGGTGAATCACCTACTTCCTTCTCCCAGAAACTCAGGATCACCAACAGTCATTTTTTCTCAGGTGATATCACCTACCTTCCTGTGCAAGAGATGCCGGGATCACCACCAGGAGCAGCAGCACACACAGCTCCATCTCCCTGAACAACAAACATCATATATTAGAAGAAAATGTGTGAATCCCCTCTCAGCAATATTTATATATCAGCAGAACAGAGTGCTGCCTAGTATTATGTTTGAATACAGCCAATCAGAAATCTGAAATTCCAGGGGAAGCTTAATATTTAGACAAAGCCAACAAACAACATGGTAGCCATGGTCCGCAGACAGATACTACTCTGCTCCCTCAACCCAGCCACAACCATCTTCCCCTCTTCCCCGAACCATACTCAGCCATTTTTCCCCTTCTTTTCCTCACAGTCCATGGTCAGACCATACAATGTCTTCTCTCTCCTCTGTCCAAGATAAGTTTTCACTCTACCTCCTTTCTCCCAGACTACAACAATCTTTCACTTGATCCCAATCCATATTAGCCTTCCTTTGTCTATTCTCTCTATGGTCTATGGTGATATACCACTCCAACTACTTCACTCTACCACAACCATCTCCTCTTCTCCCAACCATGTTCAGCCCCTCTCTTCTTCTACCCATGGTTCATGGTCAGATCTCTCCTCTGTCTAAGATCAGTTCTCACTCCAACACTTTCACTCTGGCTGCAAATATCATGCACTCAGTGCCATCCATGTTAGCTTTCCTTTGTCTATTCTCCTGATTGTTCATGGTCAGATACCACTCCAGTTCCTCCACCTAGTCACAACAATCCTTCTTCCTTCAGATATGTTTTTCTCATCTCTACCTCTTCTCCCCATGGTCCATGGTCAGATCACATGTTAACTTTTCTCTCCTCTGTCCAACTTTAGTTCTCCCTCTGCTTCTTTCACCCGGTCCATGATTATCCTCCACTCAGTCCCCATCCATGCTAAGCCTCTCTTCTCTTTTATTTACCGCCCGTGGTCCATGGACAGATCACACTCAGAATGTCCACTCTCCTGTCCACAATCAGCTTCTGCTCCATCTTCTGCTTCAGCCACAATTATCTTCCCTTCTGTCTCTTATCTTGGCCAAATCCTCATACTCTACTCCCCCGATGGACATATTTATTAGTCTAGTTTATATTTATTAGTATTTAAATATAAATGACCCAATATAGACAATCACAGAGTTCAATGATCTAACATAGAATTGTTCCAAGGTTCCCTCTGATTTGCACTATGCCTTCAAAAGAAACCTGAGGGCAATACGGAGGCTGACCTTCTGAAATGCAAAAGGCATGGCTGTCATTCTGATCCTCTGGCTTTAATGTGTTGAGTTGCTGACTTGGAATAAGTATGACCTTTCTCAGAAAATAGGGAGCCAATATACAGCCAGTCAATCAGAATTTTTAAAAGAAGAGATCAGCAGTGGCTTGGTCCTGTATCTTCTAATGATAGTATCGTGCTCAGTGATCCTCTCCACCAGATAATCATCATCCTTATTTAATTGTCAGCACACCTCCATGTAGATGAATGTTCTGCAGGAGATCTGCAGAGCACTGGAGCTCTGTATGATCTATCTATCTATCTATCTATCTGCTTCTACAGAGATAAAATGCTAATAAGCAAAGACTATGTAAAAGTTTTCCAAATAAAGTAAAATCTTACCTGGAAATCAGACAGAATACGAGACTGCAGGGGAACAAACACACACTTCACCTTCCAGATATTTAAGATGTGACTCTCTTGCCCCTACTAGGATGTACATTCCTCCAGTTCTATTATAAGATGTCACTCTGAGGCCCCTCCTTGGAAGGACATTCCTCCAGTTCTATTATAAGATGTCACTCTGAGGCCCCTCCTTGGAAGAACATTCCTCCAGTTCTATTATAAGATGTCACTCTGAGGCCCCTCCTTGGAAGAACATTCCTCCAGTTCTATTATAAGATGTCACTCTGAGGCCCCTCCTTGGAAGGACATTCCTCCAGTTCTAATATAAGATGTCACTATGAGGCCCCTCTTGGGATGGACATTCCTCCAGTTCTATTATAAAATGTCACTCTAAGGCCCCTCCTGGGATGCACATGCCTCCAACTCTCTGTTATAAGATGTGACTCTCTTGCCCCTCCTTGGAAGGACATTCCTCCAGTTCTATTATAAGATGTCACTATGAGGCCCCTCCTTGGAAGGACATTCCTCCAGTTCTATTATAAGATGTCACTATGAGGCCCCTCCTTGGATGCACATTCCTTCACTTCTAATATAAGATGTCACTATGAGGCTCCTCTTCGGATGGACATTCCTCCAATTCTAATATAAGATGTCACTATGAGGCCCCTCCTAGGATGGACATTCCTCCAATTCTATTATAAGATGTCACTATGAGGCCCCTCCTTGGATGCACATTCCTTCACTTCTAATATAAGATGTCACTATGAGGCTCCTCTTCGGATGGACATTCCTTCACTTCCAATATAAGATGTCATTATGATTTCCTCTTCGGATGGACATTCCTCCAATTCTAATATAAGATGTCATTATGAGGCCCCTCATAGGATGGACATTCCCTCAATTCTAATATAAGATGTCACTATGAGGCCCCTCCTGGGATGGACATTCCTCCAGTTATATTATAAAATGTCACTCTGATCAGTTGTAATCAGTTGTGGACCTTGGTGATACGGGGGGTACATCTAAAAAAAAGAAAACTTCACCAAAAGCCTTTGATAACATTTAAATGTCTGTCTTCTCACTTCACCAGTCAATGTGGTGCTCAGCACTGGACAATGCATCCCTATGCCTGGCCAAGCCCCCCACTACCTGTGTGCCGAGTCTCCACTGTCTCTAGCGGAGGTCGTTGGTCTCCAGTTTTCCTGTGTCTCCTTTGTCTTCAGTGCTCCTGTGACTCCAGTGACCACCAGTGTTTCCAGTGACCTTAGCGCTTCTGTGTCTCCAGAAACCACCGCGTCTCCATGGATCACCAAACTGCTGTCTTCAGTGACTCCTGTGTCTCCTGTAATCTTAGCATCTCAAGTGACCCCTGTGTGCCTATGTGTTCAGTAAATCCCGTGTTTCTAGTGACCCAGGGTTTCCTCTGTCACTACTGGGGGAATCAATGGTGGAGAAGGATCTGGGGGGGTCAATGGTGGAGAAGGATCTGGGGGGGTCAATGATGGAGAAGGATCTGGGGATTCTGGTAGATCACAAGCTTAATAATGGCAGCAATGCCAAGCTGCGGTTTCAAAAGCGAGCAAAATCCTCTCTTGTATCAAGATAGGTATAGACTCCAGAGAAAGAGATATCATCCCCTCCCCCGGGTACAAATGATTAGTAAGACCTCATCTGGAATATCCAGTTCAGTTTTGGGCTCCAATTCACAAAAAGAACATTGGGGGAATGGAGAAAGAACAGAGAAGGGCAACCAAACTGATACGAGGTATGGAGGAGATCAGCTATGAGGAAAGAATAGAGGAACTGAATTTATTCTCTACTGAGAAGAGGAGATTAAGGGGGGATATGATCTCCATGTATAATACATAAGGGGGGATATGATCTCCATGTATAATACATAAGGGGGGGATATGATCACCATGTATAATACATAAGGGGGGATATGATCTCCATGTATAATACATAAGGGGGGGATATGATCTCCATGTATAATACATAAGGGGGGATATGATCACCATGTATAATACATAAGGGGGGGATATGATCTCCATGTATAATACATAAGGGGGGATATAATATCCATGTATAATACATAAGGGGGGATATGATCTCCATGTATAATACATAAGGGGGGGGATATGATCTCCATTGTATAATACATAAGGGGGGGATATGATCTCCATGTATACCTCACCAGCCGCTCCACCTCTGCCACCCCCCTCTGCCTCTCCCTCCACTGGCTCCCTATCGCCCAACGCATCAAATTCAAACTACTCACTCTGACCTACAAAGCCATTCACAACACTGCCCCTAACTACCTCACCGACCTGATTCCCAAGTACCACCCTACCCGTACCCTTCGCTCTTCACAGGACCTCCTTCTATCTTGCTCCCTGGTCTCCTCCTCACACGCACGTCTGCAAGACTTCTCCAGGTCCTCCCCCATCCTCTGGAACTCACTACCCCAATCCATCAGACTGTCACCTTCCCTCCTCACCTTCAGGCGCTCCCTGAAAACCCACCTCTTCAGGGAAGCCTACCCCACCCTCACCTAACTGCTGCTCTCCTTCATTCCTCCTACCACTCCATCCCCCACAGCCACTTCCTCCTGTACCACTACCCCCTCCCTCCCAGATTGTAAGCTCGAAAGAGTAGGGCCCTCTTACCCCTCGTGTGCTGTTCGTAGCTGCTGTAATGTTTCATGTATTGTCCCCCCCTCTATTGTACAGCGCTGAGCAAACCCTTTGGCGCTATATAAACTCAATGTAATGTAATGTAATGTAATGTATAATACATAAGGGGGGATATGATCTCCATGTATAATACATAAGGGGGGATATGATCTCCATGTATAAATACATAAGGGGGGATATGATCACCATGTATAATACATAAGGGGGGATATGATCTCCATGTATAATACATAAGGGGGGATATGATCTCCATGTATAATACATAAGGGGGGATATGATCTCCATGTATAATACATAAGGGGGATATGATCTCCATGTATAATACATAAGGGGGGATATGATCTCCATGTATAATACATAAGGGGGGATATGATCTCCATGTATAATACATAAGGGGGGATATGATCTCCATGTATAATACATAAGGGGGGATATGATCTCCATCTATAATACATAAGGGGGGATATGATCTCCATGTATAATACATAAGGGGGGATATGATCTCCATGTATAATACATAAGGGGGGATATGATCTCCATGTATAATACATAAGGGGGGGGGATATGATCTCCATGTATAATACATAAGGGGGATATGATCTCCATGTATAATACATAAGGGGGGATATGATCTCCATGTATAATACATAAGGGGGGATATGATCTCCATGTATAATACATAAGGGGGGGATATGATCTCCATGTATAATACATAAGGGGGGGATATGATCTCCATGTAT